GTCTGCGTCTGTCTGTCCTCCGTCCGTCGGGGGTGAGTGTGCTCTTGGCACGGACGTCCTAGAGGACAGGCAGGAGGAGTTACAGTGTCTAGCGGCTGCTTCACCTCATCTCGCGTCTGTACTGCTTGCCCCTGAGGGAGACCCGGATGCACTAGACATCCCGACTCCGCGTTCTTACGCGGAGGCCGTAGAGGGTCCCTACTCCTCTCAGTGGCAGGCAGCTATGGATGCAGAGATGGCTTCCTGGAAGTCCACAGGCACCTACGTTGACGCGGTTCCCCCTTCTGGGGCGAACATCGTCAGTGGCATGTGGATCTTCAGGGTGAAGCGGCCGCCGGGCTCTCCACCTGTCTTCAAGGCACGGTACGTTGCTCGTGGCTTCAGTCAGCGGCAGGGAGTTGACTACTTTCAGACCTTCTCTCCCACCCCGAAGATGACTACTCTTCGGGTGCTGCTGCACATAGCCGCTCAGCGCGACTACGAGCTTCACTCTCTCGACTTCAGCACTGCGTTCTTGCAGGGTAGCCTGCACGAGGAGATCTGGCTTCGCCGTCCACCTGGCTTCACTGGGACTTTCCCTCCTGGCACCCAGTGGAGCCTCCGACGGCCAGTCTACGGTCTCCGCCAGGCACCGCGTGAGTGGCACGACACACTGAGGACTACGCTTGCGGCTCTTGGGTTTGCTCCTTCTACTGCTGACCCGTCGCTGTTTCTTCGCACCGACACTTCCCTGCCGCCGTTCTACATCCTCGTGTACGTCGACGACTTGGTCTTTGCCACAGCGGACACTGCTGGACTCGCCTACGTGAAGTCCGAGCTGCTGAAGAGACACACGTGCACAGACCTGGGTGAACTGCGCAGCTACCTTGGCTTGCAGATCACTCGGGACAGAGCACGCCGCACCATTACCTTGACTCAGTCACACATGGTGCAGCAGGTCCTTCAGCGCTTCGGCTTCACGTACTCCTCGCCTCAGGCCACTCCTCTGCCTACTCGCCACTCACTCTCAGCTCTGCCTTCGGATGAGTCCGTAGAGTCGAGTGGTCCGTATACAGAGCTTGTTGGCTGCCTCATGTACCTGATGACCTGCACACGACCTGACCTTGCATACCCTCTGAGCATTCTTGCACGCTATGTTGCTCCTCGGAGACACAGACCAGAGCACATGGCTGCAGCGAAGAGGGTATTGCGCTACCTGTGCAGTACGTCGGGCATGGGGCTAGTGCTTGGAGGGCGGAGTCCAGTGGTCCTTACCGGCCACGCGGACGCTTCTTGGGCTGACGACCAGGCTACGCAGCGGTCGTCACAGGGTTACACCTTCAGCCTTGGTTCCGGCTCTGTCTCGTGGCGGTCTACTCGCTCGTCTTCGGTTCTCGGCTCCAGTTGTGAGGCTGAGATCTACGCCGGGGCCATGGCTGCACAGGAGCTTCGCTGGCTCACCTACCTGCTGACTGACCTTGGAGAGCCGCCTCGTTCTCCTCCAGTGCTGTACGTAGACAACAAGGCCATGCTGGCCTTGTGTCGAGAGCAGCGTTTGGAGCACAGAACGAAGCACATTGCTCTCCGCTACTTCCTTGCTCGTGAGCTGCAGCAGCGTGGTCAGTTGCGACTTGCGTACGTGGCCTCTGAGGCCAACACTGCTGATGTGTTCACCAAGGCACTCGCGCCTTGTGACCATCAGCGCTTTTGCACCCAGCTGGGTCTTGTGCCTGTCTTGCCTCACTTGCTCTCCTCTTGAGTTCACTTGTACTGTGACATATATATACCTGCTCTTGCTTGTCTAGTTTTATATATATGTCTGTACTCCTGCATGTGAACTGGCCTCTGGCCCTGCTCTTGTGCTCGGACTGTGTGGTGACGTTGTGATCCACCCTGAGCTTGCTTTGCTTTGCTTTGCTTGACTGGTCTTGTGACCCCTTGTTCTCCCCCACTTTGCCTATGGGGGTGTGTCAGATTATCATAGTTGATGCATGTTTGTAGGCTATAGTGGGGTAGCACATATGGGGTACAGCTTTCTAGGGTTGTATTTGTACCCAACCCTGACTTAGTCATTTCATTCCTGTTTTCCTTGCTTCACACCCACGCCCTGCTCCTTCGTGGCGCCCTGGTGACCCCCCGCCGCCTCCCTTTTTCTCCGTGACCCGTCCCTACAGCTTCCTGCGCTCCTACCTACGTTAGGGTTTCGGGGTGGCAGGTGTGGGGGTGGCGGTTGTGCGTTCCTCCCCTTGCTCCTCCTCCTCCCTCGTCTCCCACTGCTGCAGATGCCGCTGAGGGGGGTGGGTGTGTGGGAGCCTAGGGTTTAGGGTTGAAGGGGGTGGCTGTGGGAGTGAAGTTAGGGGTTCAGCAGGGGGTGTGTGTCGAGGGTGTGGGGCAGTTGGAGGAGGTTGTGTGGAGGTAGCGGTCGTGTCGCCTGCAGCGCCTGTAGCCCGTCGCCCTTGCTTCGTTAGCCAGTGAGCCTGTTGCACCAGTCGCCAGTGGGTCCGTTGCTCCTGCCGCTCGTCTATAGCCGCGGAGCCAGTTACTCCAGTAGTCCGTCGCCCTTGCTTCGGTAGCCACTGAGTCAGCCGCTCCTGTGCCCGTGCCTCTGCAGCTTCAGTCGTTGCCTCCCATCTTCTCTCCTTCCACAGTTCCTCCTCCTCCTCCTCACTTGCCCTCTGCGACTGCCTCTAGCTTTACTTGTGCATGTGAACCTGCTCTAGGACTACTTGCTCTGCTGATTATACCCCACTTTGATTATGGGGGTGTGTAAGAATGTTATTGTTCTCTAGCCTGCAGTGGGGTACTCTATGGCGAGTACAACCCTTTAGGGTTTCTTATATGTATCCTGCTGCTTTCTAGTGAACACTCTCCTTTGCTCAATTCTCTCTTGCCTAGCTAGGGTTTACCTAGCTATGTCCTCACTATGCTCACTATTCTAACACTGACTTCCTTCTCCCACTGCTCAGTGGTTAGAATGCACGGGGGAGCGAGAGGCCGAACGAGCCGATAATGAGGAGCACATCATTTGAGAGAATCCTAAAAAATGCCATAAACACACGTGTACCATGTAGGGTTATGCCTGGAAACTATATAGAAATGAGTGGTACAGTACAGTGGTTTTCAAGGTTACTGTTGACACATCAACTGGGCTGATCCCTGCACAGTCCTACCCACGGCATCGTGGAGAGAATTTCTCCAGACCCGGAAACGGTGATTTGCCGTTGCACACATGGCCTTGAATTGCTACCGTGGTTGGACAATTCGATGATAATTGCTCGAGTGGTCTTGCCAGAGGTTTCCTCTGGCATTTGTTTTATTTGGTACATTACCAAAAACCGGTTTTTAGCCCTGAAATTCTTACGTCGAACTTGTCTCTTCCCGCGAAAGTGTGACGCACCCGGAAAGACGTGCACGAGGGCGGCGCCGTCACTGTTCGGATACGTGACAAAAATTAGCACGGTAATCTAGGCAAACAGTTGCGCTCAATTTCGGTCCATATCGTAACCAATCCGCGCATAGTTATATGATTCCCCGATCATATACTCAGCTGCACGGATGTCAGTACGCGCGACCAGTTACAGAGTGCGCTTGATTGGTCGACTTTATGCGTGGGGCGTTTTCTGACCTTACGCGTCCAATCAGACGCGATCATGTAAGATTGCGCTAATATAAACCCGCATATTTACCTATTTGAGCGCGCATATGTGATGCTCGAATGTGTGTGCGATCTGTTTTATTAATATAAAACTATGTTAATAAATTTGAGAGACATTATCACTACCGGCGTTTTGCCATTATACCTATATTAAACCGTGCGGTGATATATTAACCCTATATCGCACGGCGTGATATAGGTATAATGGCAAAACGCCAATAGTGATAATGTCTCTCGAATTTATTAATATAGTTTTAGATAAATAAAACAGATCATACACACATTCGAGCATCACATATGCACGCTCATATAGGTAAATGGGTGGTTTTATATGAGCGAGATCTTACATGACCGCGTCTGATTGGACGCGCAAGGTCAGAAAAGGCCCCCGCATAAAGTCGACCAATCAGGCACACTCTGTAATTGGTCGCGCGTACTGACATCCGTCCAACTGAATATATGATCGTGGAATCATATAACTATGCGCGGATTGGTTACGATATGGACCGAAATTGAGCGCAGCCGTTTGCCTAGATGACTGTGCTGATTTTTGTCGCGTATCCAAACAGTGACATTGCCGCCCTCGTGCACGTCTTTCCGGGTACGCCACACTTTCGCGGGAAGAGACACGTTCGACGTAAGAATTTCAGGGCTAAAAACCGGTTTTGGGTTATGTGCCGGATAAAACAAATGCCAGAGGAAACCTCTGGCAAGACCACTCGAGCAATTATCATCGAACTGTCCGACCACGGTAGCAATTCGAGGCCACGTGTGCAACGGCAAATCACCGTTTCGGGGTCTGGAGAAATTCTCTCGGCATCGTGTGCCTGCCCTCCACAAGAGGGGCCATCTGTTCGACAGATCTGCGGGCGTTAGCGGCCGAACGAGCCGTGTTCCATTGCTGCTGATGCACGTCAACGGCGAGATGGCGTTTCGTGGGTCCCCCTCGTCACTCCGCGCTGTCCTCACCGCCACCGAGGCTCGACATCCGCTGCGTCGCGGCTTGCTTATCAACCACTGCCTGGAGCGAGGGAGCGAGGGAGCAGGGAGAGCAGAGGGAGATGTAACAAGGCGGGATGCGGCATGCACGCATGCATGGGGATTCCCGAACGGGCCACCGTTGCCCGGCTAACTCCAAGCCGTGACGGTTGCGAGCCTAGAGCACTGTCTCCTGTCCTTTCGCGGCCACACAGACATGGCCTAGGAAGACGCGATTTTAAACTGGCTAGTCTGATCGCGCCCATTTCAACGGCCTTCCTTAATCGCCTCCCCGCTCCCGCCGCTTCCGCTGTTACTACTTGCCAGGTCGCCACCCTCGCTCAACGGTTCGTGGCGACAGCATCGCGAAGTTCGCGCGCGGCAGAGAATGGCGGCGAGCCGTGAGAGAAGCGCGCCGCCGGACCCCGCGGCCGAGGCGGCGGATTCGGAGTCGCTTCGAACAGCCGAGGAGATTGTTGGGAGCCGTGCGCCGCCCGCCATCGGCGCAGCCGTCGACGCGCACCTGCTGAGAAGCTTTGACGGTCTCGCGCGCGACCTCGATCACGCGATTCGCACGGCCGCAACGCCGTCGCAACAGCACGACGCAATCGCCACGTGTCTTCTCATCGCGAACGCGCTGTGCGACTGGCCGGAGAGCGACGAGCCGCGGCCGCGGGAGGCGTTCGGCTTCCGCGTGCTGCGCAGCATGCCGTGCGCCGCCGAGTCGCTGCTGCTGCGAGGCAAGCCATGGGTTGCGCGGGTGTGTTGTGATGCGGGGGAGGTGCGCGGTGAGGGCCGAGGTGGGGCAGCAGTGGGGTAGCAGGGAAGAGTAGGGCTGTGTGTGCTTGGGTAGCCCTAGTTGACGCAGCCACGCGCTACTTGCCATCTCCCCATCGCCCTCTCCGTGTCTCTCGCCTCCAGCCCATGTCAGCTCTCAGCACCACACCATTGTCTCTTCCCTCATCCCCCCACTCCTTTTCCGCCTCCGCTCGATCTCCCTCTTCCCCCCTCCTCTCTGTCGCGCTCGTCCTCGCCTCCCTCGCTCACCCCCTGGCAGACACGTTCTTTCTGATGGAGCACAGCAGCAGCAGCAGGCGGCGGGCAGCAGCGACCCCGTGGAGGGGCTTCTGCGGCCCGCAGGGCAGCTCGCACGTCCCCGCCACCGCCACCACGCCCGCTGCTCTCTCCCCGCTGCTGCCCGCGGGCCTGCGCGCGCCTTTCCTTACGCAGCTGGAGGTGGCGTCCTCACAGGTCGACCGCACTGCCAAGGTGCGCCGCCCAGCACAGCTCAGCACCGCGCTTGCCTTTTCACTCACCTCGCACGCCCGCAAACATCACTCGAAACATCTCTCCTTGTGCCGCACGCCACTATGTGACTCGCTCTAATCTGACCCCCTACCTCCCTCACACGGTCCTTGCTCACCTGTGGCCTCTTCTCTCCCATGCACCACCCACCTTACTGTCGCATGCCTGACTCCTGAACCATCCCTCCACCCCTATCCTCGCCCTCCTCATCCCCATTCTGCCTTTCCCATAGAGGCAGCGGTCGCAAGGCGGCATGCTGGCACGGCAGCACAGCCAGGAGGACGTGGAGCAGGTGAGCGCGCACCACACGGGTACCTTGTCTATAGCATCCCGTGCCCCGCTTGCCCCTTGCTCCACTCTGCTGCCTGCTCATGCTGCTGCATGCGTGCGTTCCCTTGCCTCTTCACCATTCCCATTCGCTCGCCTCCTTAAGTCACCTGCCTGCCCATGGTGCTTCCCCTCCCCCTCGTGCCCGTGCCGTCCATCCCCGTCCTCGTTGCTGCGCCCAGCTGCACAATCTCAGGGCGCGGCGGTTCTTCCTGCTGCTCAACCACCCACTGTCTCACCGACCTCCACCTCCACCTCCCCTGCCACGATCACTCTCACAGTCACAGTCCCAATCATCAGCGCTCCCCCTCGTGTCACCCTCAGGCTCGCAACCACAGGCAGTGACAGCAGCAGGCTTACAACAACAACCAATGGCGTTGTCGGCCTCAGGGTCACAGCCGTGCTCCCCATCGTTCTCCTCCTCTGCAGTGCCCATGGCACAGAGTGCAGCGCCCACCCACCGCTTCTGCCACCCGCTCTCCCTTGTACTCATCTCCTCCACCGCCTCCCACACCCCACCTCCCACCTCTACCACCTCCGCCTTCCCCTCTCTCGCCCCTGCCGCTGCCCCTGCCGCCCTGCCTGCACCCACCGCTGCGTCTCCCACTCCCACAGTCAACGCGTGGGAGCTGTACTCTCACGTTAAGGCGTACCTGGCCAGGCGAGCTGGGGGGAATGGCAGTGGGGACGGTAGTGCCGAGGGCAGTGCGGAGGGCAGTGGGGACGGCAGTGGGGAGGGCAGTGGGGAGGAGGAGGCGCAGGCCCTGTGGCGTGTGGTGCGGGCATGCGGGGTGGAGTCAGTAGGAGAATTGAGTGGAGTGGTGGATGAGAGGGGGTGGACAGCCATGCACGTGGCTGCCCGCAATGGTGACTCCCCCGTGGTCAGTCCCATCTCACATCACATGCATGCATCGCTTCATTGGCACCCGTGCAGCACAACCTGCCACCAGCTCCCACACCCAGGGACCCCTTACTACGCTTCTCCACCAGCCTGCCCCCGTGTGCACTCCCCAGCAAAGGCTTGATCCACGCTCACACCGGTGCCCTTTCCTGTCCCTACCTGCCGCTCCTCACCATCCACAGCTGCAGGCGCTGTTGCGCATGGGCATGCCAGCAGGAGTGTGCAGCACACGCAACGCCACCACGCCACTGCACCTGGCGGCATATGGCGGCCACGTGGATTGCATGTGCCTGCTGGCTGTGACATCCGCGCACATCCGCGCGGATGGCTGTGGTGCTGACATCCGCGCGGATGGCTGTGGTGCTGACATCCGCGCTCGCACGGCTGGTGGCTGTGAGTGCCTGGCGGCTGTGAGTGCCTGGCGGCTGTGAGTGCCTGGCGGCTGTGACTGATCTTGCACTAGACTGTCGAAAGTGCTTTGTTCTCTCATACTTCACGCAGCTTCCTTTCCTTGCTCTCTTGCCTTTGGCTTTACCCTCTCTACCCTGCTGCGTGAACGTGTCTGTTTCTGCATCTGCTTTCGGAGAGCCAGTCCTTTCCCTATGTAATCCAACCTCCCTATGTAATCCAACCTCCCTATGTAATCCAACCTCCCTATGTAATCCAGCCTCCCTATGTAATCCAACCTCCCTATGTAATCCAACCTCCCTATGTAATCCAACCGCCCTCCCCCAGGGACCCCTTTGCACAACGCAGCGAGCCAGCAGCAGTGGGGCGCAGTTCGGTGGCTGGCGCAGCAGGGGATAGAACCAGCAGAGGTGGAAGCAGCGGGAGGCAACCCCAATGCAAACAGGCTGCCAGCTCACCTCATGGCCCAGGCGGTGCAGATAGTGCGGGAGGAGTATGCTAGGCGACTAGGCCACGCAGGAGAAGGGGGGCATGGGTTTGGGGAGGAGGCTGGCGTGGGTGCGAGCTGGGTGGATCAACTCCTTGTGCTGGATGATCACCTTGACATTGCATGATCTGATTGCCTGCTCGCACTGCTCAGTGGTTCAAATGCATGAGGACGGAGGAGAGGCAAGATGAACAGACAATGCAACATTTGCAGTACCGGTCACCCATGTTGCAACTTGGAATGCACACGTAGCCCTGTTCTAAATGCATGGAGGTTATACTTGGGAGGTCAAGAAGATCATCATTTCACAATTGACAACATATGATGTCAGGTCGTGTAATGGTCTAACGCGGTGAACACCAATAGCGGTTCCGCCACAGCTCGTGTTTGCGGACATCGCGCGAGTGAGAACACAAACACCCTGTGTCTTCCTTCGCGGCACTCAAGACGAGTGGAGAGAGCGGCACGCACGCTAGAGTCTGGCTTAACGTGCGATGCGGAGTCAACAGGAGGAGCCGTCTCCTCTGTCGCCTGCGGAGTTCGATCCTACCGCGCACGCCCACCAAGGCAAGCGCCGCTTGAATCGCGGCGCAGAGTGAGCCAGCGCAGATGGCGGAGCGCGGCAGTCAGCGGAAGGGGATGGCGATGGGGGGAAGCGACCGAGGAAGAGGCGGTGGGATGGCGGGAAGGGTGGCGATGCGCGCGCTGTGACAGCCGCGGACGATCCCCTTGCGCCGGTGAGTGGCGCGCCGATGGCTGCTCGCGAAGGCGGAGGTTTGGCCGCTGGAGGTGCGGACGGCAGCAGAGACGGCGCGGACGACAGCGGTGACGGCGCGGACGGCAGCAGTGACGGCGCGGACGGCAGCAGTGACGACGCGGATGTAGAGCGTATTGAGAGCGGCAGCAGTAGCGGTTGCATTGCAGTCGAGCGCTGGCGGTTGCATTGCAGGAAGAAATCGGAGAAGGTTGAGAGGCGAACGAAGCGACGAGCGCAAGTGCGAGAGAATGTGGCAGCACGGCGGGGCGTGGGGATGGGGGTTGCAGCAGCGCCTCCAGGCGCAGGAGGGGCAGTCAACAGTGGTATCATTAGCAGCGGTGGCAGTGGCGGTGGTGGTGTGAGTGTGGAGGAACTGGGTGCTGTGTTCGGCCTGCGTGCTGGCGCTCTTGTGGCGCGCGCTGCTCTCCCCCACATCCTTGCTGGTGAGGCGCTGCTCTCCCCCACATCCTTGCTGGTGCTTCCATGGAAACCTCGATGGAAACCTTGATCTCGCCGCCGTGGCTGCCTGACGCCAGCCTGGAACTCACATTGCGTGAAGCCTATTTGTCAGTTGGCTTTAATCCTATCAGCAACGTAATCGCTACAGCAAGATGATGAGGATCATATACATTATATGTTCATCAGGCGAACATTTTATTTTCCTCTCACTGGTGCGTTACGCTGATCAACCAGACAAGGCCCAAGGTTAACGCGTGGTTCCCAGGGGTATGCGTCATCACAAGGCTACCAGCTAAGCTATCACTAATTGGCTCTCTAGATTCTACATTGATATATCAAGATGACCCTGCAGTTACCACAGCGGCCCAGCAACACCTAAGTCAGGAGCACTGGGCTAAGGCTTTGGCAAGATTACTATTTAACAGTGATGTGCTCAGACTACCGGCTCATTGTTCTCAACAACTCCGTCTGTCAGAGTTTCGGCTGGCTTCTTGTCATCATTGCACGATGCCTCCTAAGAACTCCCGTAAGGCAGTGGCTGATGCTGCCTTGGTCAACCCTGCTGGTGGTTCTGATCCTGCGAGCAAGTCAACGCCAAGCAAGCGGTCAGATGTGGACATTAATCTACCGACCGAAGCGGAAGTTACCGCTGGGAGCTCAGGCCTTTCTGTCGAGGAGAAGCTGAAAGCGTTGGCCACGGTGGCTGCTGATGACTCATTTATCAAAGATGACTCTGATGAGGAGCTGGAGATTGATGCGAGCACAGGAATCTCCCCTCACCTGCGTTCGACGGTGATTCTGCTTTTTCTAGTGATCCCGTCGCATGAAGTCGCTTCTGTTATTCTAACTGTGCGGATGCTTATGAAGCGTGTTTGGGCAAACCTGCTCTCTGATGACGTCTTGGCCACGGTGAAGTTTCAGGAGCTGCTTCCCGCGTTTGTTGCCAAGACCCGCTATAGTCGTCTCCAAGTGTCATTCCTGCGAGAGTCCGACGCTGTGAACATTAAGCAAACATCGGTGGATCATAAGCGTCCCAACGGAATTACGATTCATTGTTTCTGGCTGCACCAGGAGGATCCAGTTTACCTGCGTATGAAGGCGACAAATCCACAGATGCTGGAGGTGTATTTCAAAGGTGTCCCCGCTGACATTCCCTCGGAGCTGGTTTTGGAGGTGATGGTGAAGCATCCGCTCAAGATCCGGAAGCAGTCGGCCTTCAGCGGTGGTCACTGCTTTCACCGCGTCCTTCATCTAATGACCGGCGCTGACACGGACAAGATCAAGGGGCTGGTTGTTCCACACGCTGGCGACAAGCACCGCTGGCGTCACGAATATCGTCATCAGCTGCTGGGTGGCACGACTCTGCTTGCTCGCTCTGTGGTGGGCACCATTATGACAAGTTTCATAATGCGTTTGTCACGGAACGTCAGAATAACATAGGGAAGTGGAGTTTGACAGTGGGTCGGGTGCATAGGATTAACGGTAACTGTGCTTTCTGGATTCGCAGTCGTTTATTGTACTCACCGTCGTCGGTCGCTAACGTCGCGTCTGTCCCTCGCAGCTGCTTCTCTCTGCGCTTCTCCGCTTGTTACCCCGCTTCTGCTGGATGCGGCTCTTGTTCTCATCTCCACTGGAAGCAACCGGAAGGAGTGGCTGTACACCCAGGAAAGCTGCGGGAAAGCTCATGGCAAGACCTTCATGGCTGCTGCGGACCATGTTACATCGGCAAGTCCCTTGTTGGGTCTGGAAAAGCTGGGGGTGGCCACACGTGCTTCGCTGGAGAAGCTGAGCCTACACGTCATCCGCAAAGATTATGGAATCTGAGATCAGGGTCCACTCACCTGAAGAGGAGCTATGTGGTTGTCGCTGTTGCTTGTTCTTGTGTAGTAGTATCCTGTATCACCGGCCTGTGGATGCAAGGGGGCCTTCAAGCAGTGGTTAAATGAGTACAAAGAGCTTACTATCATTTGCAGGCCTGAATGTCAACGGCTTGGGGGATGGTAACAAGCAACAGCATACAAAGAACTGGTTGAAGCAGGCAGCAGATATCGTCGTATTGTCGGACTCTAGGCTCACTGATGATCACCCTTACTGGAACTCGCTTAGGCAGCCGCAGATCCTGGTAGCCTCTCCTACCGCTAAAGCCGGCGAGGTTGCTTTAATCTGTTGGAGGCACGGACTGTCACTGCATAACACCCTCATGGTCAGCTGGTAACAGCTGAAGTTTGACTTGACACTTTTCACATCACCTTGGTCGCAGTTTATTTCCCGGCTGATGTTGCTGAACGTAAGGCATTCATCCGCAGAGTGCTGGGTCCGGTGGTTGATACGGTGTCGCTGGGTTCTCATCTGCTCATTATGGGGGACTTCAATCTTGTAGAAGACCCGCTGTTAGATAGGACATCACGGACGGGGTCCACGAAAGAGAATGAGGAGCTGTACCGTCGTTGTGGCGCCTTTCACCTCTCGGATGCTTTTAGAGTTCTACATCCATACAGGCGGGAATTCACTTTCTACTCCTGCGCCAACCAGTCCAGTTCGCGTATAGACAGAGCACTTATCTCGCAATCTTTGCTTGCGCATGTTGAGTTCGTCTCACACATTATGCCGGCTGACCCCATCTCTGACCACAGCTTTGCAGTGAAGGCGGCTTTCAGGTTGAACACGCGGGTGCAGTTGGGCCCGGGGCTTTGGAGGCTTCCTGCATACATGTTGGACAGACCGGGGGTCAGAAAGGTGATTGAAGCCGTGGAGCGGCAAGTGGACTTGTGTGGGGACGGTTTTGAGCTTCTAATCTCCCGCCTCAATACTGCTCTACGAGCTTACACAAAAGAGGAGCGGAAGAGGGTCCGGGCTACGACGGTTCACCTTCAGCGGCCGGTTGCGGAGCTAAAACAGGCGTGGCTGGGTGACCCGGGGTGTGCTCGGCTGAAAACCTTGCTGGGCGAAAGAGAGGCGCAGTTGAAGAGCTACCAGCTGGTTCGGCAGGAGCGGCTACATGTAATGGCTGGGTTGAAGGAAGAAGTAATGGGTGAAGTGGCCTCCCCGCACCTGTCGGCAAAGATCAAAGACAGAAAGGGGTGGACGCAGATTACGGAGTTAAACGCAGGCGGGAAGCTGGTGAATGACAATGAAGCTATCCTGAAGGCAGCGTCACAGTATTATAAGGAGCTGTTCGAAAGCGACAGACAGCAGGCCGTGTCTGCTTGGTCTCCTGCTCCCGGGAGGTCTCTGTCGCAGAAGTCGGCGGAAGCGGTGTGTGCGGCCTGGTCGGAGGAAGAAGTGAAAGCAGCTTTCCGTTTGATGGCGAAGGATAAGGCTCCCGAGAAGGATGGGTTGCCGAAAGAGCTGTTCGAGTTCCACTGGGATATCCTGGGCAAACATTTCATGAAGCTGGTCGACAATTTCGCAGCTACGGCGACGCTGCCGACGAGTACGAAGGACGATGTCACCATCCTGCTACACAAAAAGGGGGGGAGGGAGCAGCTTGAGAACTGTCAGAATGTTATTCTCTAGCCTGTAGTGGGGTGCTCTATAGCGAGTACAACCCATCTAGGGTTTGCTATATGTATCCTCATTGCTGCTAGTGAAACCCCTCCTTCATTCTCGTTCTAACTTTCACAAGAACTACAGACCGATCACCCTTCTGAGCTTCACCTACAAAGTGATCGCGGGGGTGGTGGCAGACAGGATGAAAAGAGTGCTGCATTAATTCATCTCTCCGGAGCAGTACGGTTTCTTGCCTGGTAGAAGGCTGTCGGACGCGATGGGCTTGGTTGCGGATGTTATCGAGGCCGCGAAGAGCAAGGATCATGACTGGTATCTTCTGCTGGTCGACTTTAGGAAAGCTTTCGACTCGGTCTCGAGGAACTTCCTGTTTACAGTGCTCGAGCGGATGGGTTTTCCGAGCCGTCTCGTGGACTGGGTTAGGGGCCTGCACAAGGATACACGGACCAGTCTGTTAATCAACGGCTGGATGGGGGAAGCGGTTGACATGGTGTCTGGGGTGCGACAGGGTTGTCCGCTTGCGCCTTACCTCTTCCTGTGCGCGGTGGAACCGTTGGCCCAGCAGGCGGCTGCTAGAAAACTTGGTCTTAAAAAGGGGGAGCAGCGGCTGGCGTATCTGGGGTATGCTGACGACACGACTTTAGTCCTGCAAGGAGAAGAACAGATTGCGGAAGCAGAGTGGCTGTTAGCAGACTTCGAGGCAGAGTCAGGGCTAGCAACGAACATAGAGAAGTCATCCATCTTACCCCTGGGGTGTAACCTGAACAAACAGGCCTGCAGGACGGACAGTTTCAAGTGGGTAAAGGCGGATGAAGCAGAGAGGCTCCTGGGCGTGTGGGTGACGCCGGCTGGCAGCTGCGCCCCCACCTGGGAAAAAGCTTTCGCGCGGATCAAGGATAAGCTGAGACAATGGGAGACGCAGCATCTCACCACAGGCGCCAGGGTAGCGGTAATCAACTGCTACATCTCACCCATAATTTTCTTCCAGGCGCAGGTGTACCCGCCGCCGGTGGATATTTGGGGGAGGATTTTGAAGCTGTCGCACAACTTTGTATGAGGCAACCACGCGGTCACTGATAAGAAATTCATTATGTGGAGCCGGGATCTACTGTATACGGCCAGGGCCGATGGCGGTGTGGGGGTGAGGGACCCGGATATAGAGCTCACCTGTCTTGCAGCCAGGCGCATCGGACTGTTGCTCACCTAGACGAGTGAACTGAAGCGGGAAATTATGCTCGCAGCGGTGGACCTGCCGGTGGGGACGGACACCTTTGTCGCTCACGTGAAGCTTCTGAAGTGATGGCGTGGGAAAAGTGAGAGATGGAAGCTGGCCTGCGGGAGCTTTATGCAGTCGCCGCTGATAGACTCACTACCGGCCCTAACGAAGGAAGAAATTGTAGCGGAGCGGATTGTTTTTAACCGCAACATCCTGCTCAACGGCAGGACTCTAGTGGGGGGTCAGAAGGCTGCGGCGAAGCTGTGGGAGCTCTGGCTGGGTGATCTTTTTCTACCGGATGGCGCGGGGGGACGAAAGGTCAAAGATGTGAAAACCCTGACAAGGGAGCTGGGAGGTTCTAAGCAAGCGAAGCTGGCACTACGGGCTTGGGAAGCGGTACCACAGACCTGGAAGGAGAGTCTACTGCCTGCCGAGCAACTGGTACCTCCGCCTCTGATTCCCCGCCTTCAGAAATCGGCACTGTTCAAGGATGGGCAGGTGGCGTCGTTGAAAGAGCTGAAGGGATGTTGGAAAGGGTAGAAGCATCAATCCGCTAAGAGGGAGCTTTGGGCAGGCAGATGGTCAGGGGAAATTGACTGGAAGAAAGTTATCAAAGTTCGGGACTCGCTGGTGACACCGAACAGGCCGCGTCACGTGTTGCTTAGGATTCACAGCCTCAACCTGCAAGTAGGGGAGAGGCTCTCCTTTCTAAGTGGCAGGCCGGTCTGCCCGCACTGTGGGGAGTTTGAAACCTTGGAGCATTGTCTTTTCAGCTGCCCGTGCATCCAGCAGGTGGTGGTGGCAGTCAAGCGGTCCATGCGCATGCTGAACCCTGCGAGGCAAGTGTCGGACCTGGGGGACCTGTTGTTCGGAAAGGCAGCATCGGCCTCAGCGTTTCCTGAAGCGACCCTCTCTGCAATTTCCGTTCACCAGATCTGGGCGGAGCGATGTGATTGTGTGTTTCGGGGGAAAAGATTCCGGGCCTGGCGGGTACTCAGGCGCATCGAGGCAGCCTTTCGGCTGCATGTGAAGGTGTACACGCGAGCAATGGGAAAGAAGACTGGCAGCGGCGGTGGTTCGAAGGGACAAAGGAGAACTCATGCGCTGGCGGAGCAGGAGGACGGTTTACTTGGCCGCATTCGCTGCATGACGGTGAAAGGTTGGAAGTGGACGCACAGTTTCGGCGCGCTTTGGAGCCTGACAAGGGGAGCTCTGCATCCGCCTTAGAAGCCTCACGTGAGGCCACCATGTGGGTTCGGCCTCTCACGCTCAGTTACGACTGACATATATCGCTTATACGCTTGCTCTTTTGGTGTATTTGGTTATATTCCAAAAAAAAAAAAAAAAAAAAAAAAAAAAAAACACACATCCTTGCTGGTGAGGCGCTGCTCTCCCCCACATCCTTGCTGGTGAGGCGCTCTGGCGCATAAAGGAAAAGGGGATGGGGAGAAGATGGCGGAAGGGGGGGGGGCTGGGTGAGCCAGCCCAGCCAAAGGCAGCGAGCGTGAGAAGCAGGCAGCGTGTTCACACGCCATGCTGGTCGGAAGGGGTGACAGCCATGCTGGGACCCTCGCCCTCACTCTCTCCACCCCTGTCTCCTCCACCCACCCCTATCTCATCCACCTCCCTCCCCGGCAACATGTCCTTGCTGCCAGGCACGGATGTGCTCATGACGAGCGCCAACAAGTTCCCCAACGCGGCTTCCTTCCTCGTACGCCTCCATTCCATTCGACTCACCGCGCACCTTGCTTCCCTTCCCACACTCCTTCCTCACTACCCTTGCTGCCTGCACCGCTTCACATAATGGCATGCGACCGCTTTGTTTGAAAGGATTAATCCATTGCTAGTCGTTTTGCTTTTCATTTGACCCTTCAACAAACTCTGCAAGTAGCACCCCATGCTTCCTGCCCTCTCCCCAATCCCGCACTTTCCAACCACCAGTTGCCACACCTTCACACCCTTCTTCACCGCACGCCACCGCTTCTTCAAGCCAGTGGTGATGCCCCTGTAGAGATCCTCTTTCTGGCTGTTTCAAACTTCGCCTGCAGTAGGTTTGTAAGCCAAGTCCAATCGCTTATAGTGAAGCGTTTTAAACTGCAGCAGTGTGGGGAGTGGAGGGGGGATGGTGCGGGGCATGCAGCAAGGGTGGACGCTCAGATACTGAAGATGCGGAAGGAAGGAGGGCAGTTGAGAATGCTTCCTTGCCAGGTGAAGGGAACTCATGGCAGGTGAAGTGGATCCAAGGCAGGCGAGGTGATTGCATCGCAGGTGAGGTGATTGCATGACCATAATTGCCATTTGTGATTGCTATTTGTAATTGCCATTCGTGATTGCCATTCGTGATGCCATACTGGGCCTGCATTGATGTGGTGTGTCCCTGTGCCGTGGCATGGCAGGTGATGGCATGTCCATACAATAACATAGGGAAGTGGAGTTTGACAGTGGGTCGGGTGCATAGGATTAACGGTAACTGTGCTTTCTGGATTCGCGGTCGTTTATTGTACTCACCGTCGTCGGTCGCTAACGTCGCGTCTGTCCCTCGCAGCTGCTTCTCTCTGCGCTTCTCCGCTTGTTACCCCGCTTCTGCTGGATGCGGCTCTTGTTCTCAACTCCACTGGAAGCAACCGGAAGGAGTGGCTGTACACCCAGGAAAGCTGCGGGAAAGCTCATGGCAAGACCTTCATGGCTGCTGCGGACCATGTTACATCGGCAAGTCCCTTGTTGGGTCTGGAAAAGCTGGGGGTGGCCACACGTGCTTCGCTGGAGAAGCTGAGCCTACACGTCATCCGCAAAGATTATGGAATCTGAGATCAGGGTCCACTCACCTGAAGAGGAGCTATGTGGTTGTCGCTGTTGCTTGTTCTTGTGTAGTAGTATCCTGTATCACCGGCCTGTGGATGCAAGGGGGCCTTCAAGCAGTGGTTAAATGAGTACAAAGAGCTTACTATCATTTGCAGGCCTGAATGTCAACGGCTTGGGGGATGGTAACAAGCAACAGCATACAAAGAACTGGTTGAAGCAGGCAGCAGATATCGTCGTATTGTCGGACTCTAGGCTCACTGATGATCACCCTTACTGGAACTCGCTTAGGCAGCCGCAGATCCTGGTAGCCTCTCCTACCGCTAAAGCCGGCGAGGTTGCTTTAATCTGTTGGAGGCACGGACTGTCACTGCATAACACCCTCATGGTCAGCTGGTAACAGCTGAAGTTTGACTTGACACTTTTCACATCACCTTGGTCGCAGTTTATTTCCCGGCTGATGTTGCTGAACGTAAGGCATTCATCCGCAGAGTGCTGGGTCCGGTGGTTGATACGGTGTCGCTGGGTTCTCATCTGCTCATTATGGGGGACTTCAATCTTGTAGAAGACCCGCTGTTAGATAGGACATCACGGACGGGGTCCACGAAAGAGAATGAGGAGCTGTACCGTCGTTGTGGCGCCTTTCACCTCTCGGATGCTTTTAGAGTTCTACATCCATACAGGCGGGAATTCACTTTCTACTCCTGCGCCAACCAGTCCAGTTCGCGTATAGACAGAGCACTTATCTCGCAATCTTTGCTTGCGCATGTTGAGTTCGTCTCACACATTATGCCGGCTGACCCCATCTCTGACCACAGCTTTGCAGTGAAGGCGGCTTTCAGGTTGAACACGCGGGTGCAGTTGGGCCCGGGGCTTTGGAGGCTTCCTGCATACATGTTGGACAGACCGGGGGTCAGAAAGGTGATTGAAGCCGTGGAGCGGCAAGCGGACTTGTGTGGGGACGGTTTTGAGCTTCTAATCTCCCGCCTCAATA